TTTGGGGCTTCAGCTTCTTAGTAATAGGTTGGTCAATCCGTCTCCTGCCTTTCTGCGTGGTTACTTCGAGTGTAGCTTGAGCTTTCTTCAAACTAATCCCCCACTTTGCAGATAAATTTGCAGCATCAATTGGAGACCAGCTGGTTGTGTTGTCATACATGGTTGGCCCCATCTCACGTCGTCGTTTCAAACGCCTTGCTTCTGGAGATAAATCAGCATCCTCCTCATCCAGTTCATCCTGCACCAACACCGATTGAGTGCTAATGTTCTTATCTGGAGCGTTTTTATGAACTGCTGATATAGTTACCACTGGATTTGCATTAGGATCCAACTCAATATTTCCCATATCATCTGTAAACACAGGCGAGTGTAAAGATCGGTGAAGAGCGTTAACAGTATGAACAGGAGTATCATCGCATGGGTCACTTGTGTCCCCAGCTGATGAATCACTATTGTCCCCGCTGTTCATAGTGATAACTGCACTGAGTCGGGAATAAAGCCGGCCATCAACAGCAATAGAGCACTCTGGAAGATCCAAATTACATTTGCTCTGGAGATAAGAGATATATGCCGTATCATAACTGTCATAACGTCTGACCGGAGCAAGGTCCCCATCGTGGGGAACAACCGAAGGGGTGTCCCCGGAAGCAGTATCAATAGCATCGATGCGCCAGAGTGGAAGAGCAGATCTAGGCCGTGCTTCATTCACAGCCTCCTCATTGGATTCAAATACATCAGATGTTGGATCCCAAACTGGTGAATCAGCAGTTGCAGTGATATAGTCACATTCTTCAAGCTCTCGTGGTGTAGGGCGTCGTGAGGGGAAACACGAAATAACGCCAACCATCTTGAAGGGAATGAATAACTGCACTTCATCATCAGTGGAGGTGAAGGTGACACCATGTGATGATTTGCTATTGAACTGTCGGGGAGTGTCATCCACTTGATTGAAATTGCAATGGCGTATCTGATTTGGACACAGCAAACTATGAGAAAGTTTGTTGCCAAAATACAATGCTTGATGGAACACCAGAATATAGGTCTTCCCATCAGAGTCATCACAAGCAGT